CTGTTCATTGATGCACGTTTTGAAGCCTTTCATTTCAAAAAATTGGGACATCGAAGCATGTTTCGCAGTATGTTTCATCCAACTTTTGACTCACAGATAACTGACGAGCATTTTTTTTACATGTACAAGTTCCGAAAAAAAAATGTTATGGTTGGCCTTAATGAATACCAACAAGTAACGCTCGGCGCTTCGACTCGTTTGACTCTCGACTGAATGATAAAGTATTTGTATATTTTATTCGATCTTAGAAGCAATCAGCAGCAGTATCAAATGTATACCGGTGTATCTCCTACTGCTACTTGATTACTCGTCCATAAGATCATGACTCATCTAGAATTATAATAGTGCGTAGGAATGGAACCACAATTTTTCTCAATTGTTTTACAAGATAAATATCTTGTTTTTTGTAGATGACCACATAAATTTCTATATTTGCATGATCGAAGTTTGAATATATTTTTACTGTTTTGAGAAATAATTTGAAGCGTCAGTTTTTAACTGAAAGGTATAGAGACAGCTAAGTCATGAGCATCCTAACCTTCTTTAATCCATAAATTTCTTTAGTGATAGAAATGATCTTCTATTATGCAATGGCAATATAATGGGATAAGTTGCTTTCTATTGTATGTGTTTGTATGTATGCTCGCCTGTATTTGTTATGATCCGTGTTGATAACACGAGATCATATTGTTTTTAGGAAATATCTTCTTTGATTTTTCTTCTCTTTATTCTTTTTTATTATCTATGAAAAGCGCGTTTTCAGTTTTTTTTGCGCCTGGTGATAAACATAAATTTTAACAAATCTTTTATTGAAATAATATTATCAAAATATTAACAAAAATCATTGCGTCTGTTCGATTAATACGCTCATTATTTCAAATAAATAAATCAGCCAATCAAACATAACATACTTTTATTTCATTGAATTTCAATACATTACCTTTATAAAAGGATGCCGGCTTTAACTGTACAAACAAATGTAGCTGACAATGAAATAACAAATGATTTTCTTAAACAACTTAGTGCAAAAGTAGCACAAGTGCTTGGCAAACCTGAAGGATATGTTACTGTTCATGTTTCATCAGGTCAAAAATTACTCTTTTCCGGTACAAATGATCCAGCTGCAATTATGGAACTTACGTCAATCGGATTACCAACGAATCAAACAGCCAAAATTACTAAAGAAATTATGAGTCTTTTTGAAAAAAAACTTAATATTAAAGCTGATCGAATGTATTTGAAATTTACAAATCTAGCTGACAATATGATGGGTTGGAATAAGGGAACATTTTAAAGTTTTATCTCTCTGTTATGACTCATGCTAATATACAAGATGAAACTTTATCCTTGTCATATCCTCTTCTTTTTCTTCTTTCTTTTCTTTCACCTTGTTTTTTTTCTTATTGTCGGTATCTATATAAACACATGTATTCCACTCTGATTCATGTGTGTATTCTGAACGAAAAAATAAAATAACAAAAATGCCTTCAAAAAAAAAACTCTCTCATACTATATCTTGCATCATAGACAGAGATATAGCTTGAAATTTACTCTCCGGATAAATAGTAATAGACAATGAGAGACATGCATCATTCTCTGTTTTTAAGATTTTCATTCACTGATAATGTAATTCCCGTGTCGGTTTATACTATGTTTTCATCTTGGTTCAATACTAGAAAAAAAGGAATTTGAATACGTGTGAGAAACACAATATTATTCGGCCATTTTTCAAATATATTTATAAGACATGTTCAATAAGGAACATACTTTACAAATGTTTTATTGAAATGTTCATCGATTATTTGGAATTCAAGTGTTGAGAAAAGAGAAATCTCACTCGAATGATGCACAGTTGCAAAAAAGTTCGTTTATTTTTGTTCAGTTGAGACGAAAATGGGATGTTGATAATTTGGTGTCCGGTTGAAGAAGTCGTCCGATAAGTTTCCAATAGTTTTTGTTTTGTGAGCTCTTTATTGCCATCATAATGAAAGTATTTTCGATCATCGCACGATGTTCATCACTTAAATCTTCCTCATTCGATGGTATTTTATACAGTGATTCGTAGAGACCTTTGGCCAAACTGATTGTGGGTGTGGGTATGGTTTAAGAAAAGACTCACACACACCCGCACCCACATCCACACCCTTCTTGTTATTTTAAGACTAAAATAAAATTCTAGCATGATTGTTTTCCAAAGCTGCAGTTTCAACACTCACATTCACATAGCAATAAATAGAGTACTGGTCTAAATTTTTGAATTCTACTTGAACAGGAATAATTATAGGAATTACGTAGGTGAAATTTTATGTGGATATACTTTACGATGTCTACTGATGGATCGTCTCTCATTATTATTGCCAACTGGAAGTTACCAGCGCTTGAGGCTTCCGTTCATACACACTATAGTTATTCATGAGCACCCAGGTCGTTGATTCTGGTCGTATCTGCTGACTTTCTGGTGTGTTTTATGCAGGATCCGCTCAAGTTCACGAAATAACTCGCCAGAGAAAACTATGAACTTGAAAAGAATATTGCACATTCCGAAGCTACCGCACTGGAAACCGTGATTTCATCCCAATAGATTGACACCGTAAACAGAGAGAATCGGCCTGGATCATACCGGAAAATAATCTAGAAATCATAGGAAGCTCTGCGAAACGACCAAACAATCTGCTTGGGAATAACTTGAAAACACCCATATGCAACTGTCCGATGAAGTTTAGAACGCAGCAAATAGAAACAGGAGCATTGTAATCACATAAATAATCAAAAACGTTCATTTTTCATTAGAATCTCTTGGCACATTTTGGAGATGTTGTTTGCCAGATGAAAAGATATATGATGATGATTCTCAAGAGGTTGGAAATTGAAGAATGTAAGAGGATGGTCAAGCATCCCATCCGTATCCCTAGTCAGAAACCGTACCAAAAATGACGATCGGATCTTCACATCGTTTCTGAGTACACGAAATAGCGGTAACCGAGCCGAAAGAAAGGAGATTAGAGCTAGTTTTGAACCTGACCACTAGAAATCGACAGAGATTCCATAGATCTCGCTCTATCTTCTTCACATAAGTAAATTTATCAGTATTGTTTTATGTATTGAAATGCACCACGATAATTCAAACTGTTGGGTACACAGTAAAAATGTCTAGAATTTCGAGTTATTATAAGCTATTTATTTGTAACAATGCAAAAACTGATCTTATGTTAAAGGTATTAAAACATTCTCCATATAAACGAGATGTACACAGTCGAAAATACCAGAATTTACGTGTGTTCATGTGTTTATGGGTACAACTGTGAAAACAATGTTTTTCTAGATATTCTCATAACGAGTTTGAAGTTCAAGAAGAGGGTATTATTTGAAATGTTAAATTGTAGACATTTTTAACTTTCCACAACCAGTTAAAACACAGAGAAATACTTATTATTGTAATGGGTTAACTTTATATTTCTGATCACATGAATAATCAGTTCATTCTGTTAATCTCCTGCGTTTATTTTAAAGACTAAACTAGACATAATTGAAATACAAAGTGAACAAGGAATTAACAAAATGGTTATGACTGATGGTTTTAATATGCCTGTTCCTCAATTATTGTTACTGACTGGAGATCTTAAAATACAACGAACGCATCGAGTTCTTTTGATTATACTTGGCATTTTACTTGTAAGTTTATATTTTTATTTTTATTATGATTCGACAGTAATACCAAAAAAAAAAATATTGTTTTTTTTTCTTTTGTTTGATATCTATAACAATTCGATAATATGTATTATATGAACAAGAAAAACTAGATTTTTATAATAATTCGAGATTATTTTTCTGTCAATATTTAAACAGATTGTTTAAAGCATTTTCAAACAAGGTTTCTAAAGCAAATTATTTTTGTGTTAGAAGTTTCCAAAAAAAGAATGCTGAGAATAACTATTAATAAATAAAAATACATTAATCAAATTAATTACGAAAAAAATAAAAATAAAAAAAAATATTCAAAACTACAAATGTTATCCAGGTTCAGTAAGATGAACTAGTAAGGGTCAATATTTACGTAATTTGAGAAGAGAAATATCTTTTTAAACATTTTCGAATCGAGATATAAAATAACGTAAGATAAAAAAAGAGATTTGTTTCAATTGTTACAACATCAACTACATGTGCCAAAGTGAACATTAAAAACAACATTCTTCAGACTAATCAAAAGATAATTTGACTAAATCAAATCATTTCATAGTCTAACTGGATTCCAAATAGTCTGTTTAACAATATTCTTACTCTTAGAGAACTTGTCAGCCATGTGACCGATATATATTCGAAGGATGTCTTTTTCATTTTATATTATGTATATATTATCTTTCAGGCTCCTTCTCTAGTCAGTACAATAACTGTAATTTATGGAAATCGAATTGGAGATGGTATAAAAGAGACTCATGGTGGTATGCAATTTGGTCAATCTCTTATTTCAGTTCTTTTCTACGGATTTGGAATATTCGTTGCTTATCGATATTATGAAACTGGATTACGAATGGTATGTTTTATCTCTTAGCTTTATTAAATGAAAAGTCCTTATAATAATGTTTGAAGCAAGTTAAGTTTCTTTTAGCTTTAAAAACGTTTTAGAACAAATCTTTCATCAATTTAAACATAATAAATAATGAATGAAATACTTTCTAATCATGAGTTATTGATTATAAGTATATCTCAAAAATTGATATACTTGAAATTGCTGACATTAAGTAGATAGGAATCATTCATAGATTTAACAAGGCAATGCAAAAATTTGTCAGAAGTCTTATAAAGAAATACAGTGGAAC